GATTAACTGAGATGTCAGCTTTTAGTGATAATAAAGGAAGTGCTGCTCGCATTCTGCTATGCCAAACCATACACGCAGCAGCCCATGCTTGCTTTTCTGTTAAAAATAACAGTGGTTTAATGTTGATGCTTAGCCTAAATAACAAATATTTTATCTGGAGCGTTTATGCTGGTATGCTGTGGCGCTTAAGAGATATTACAGAACCATTTTATGTAAATTTCTTCGATGTACTGAAAAAAAATCTATATAGATTACTTTTATGCGGGCTTTTGCGGGCGGGAGCGGGACAAAACATGAATGTCGCGGGTGGGAGCGGGACCAGATAAGATATATTTCTGCGGGAGCGGGACAGAATCTTGCGGGAGCGCAGGTCTCTACATCAAACTACGCCTTTGTCTATTTGTTTATTTTGAAAACGCGCCCTCCAGTGGCGAAAATTACATATTGTGCCTTTAATTAACTTGGAATTGTACAAAAGATACCAAAACATTATGGCCATGTTAGGTATTATGAAATGTTTATGTATTTTCTAATTCTAAATCTACTCTATATGCACCTATGCCAAAACAAACATTTTTTTTAAACAATGGTTCTATTTAATATTGATATGAGGAAGAAAAAAAAAAACTATACCCAAATCCAGATTTTTTGTCAAAGTTTCTAGCATAATCCAACATTCCTTCTTAAGTTCATAACTAAATGCTATTAAAAAGACAACCTGGTCTTTTCAAACTCGGATAACAAAATAGGATGAATTTTAAAAGAATAGTTCACCCAAAATGGATATTTACTCACCCTCAGGTCATTCAAGATGTAAATTAGTTTGTTTCTTCATCGGAACAGATTTGAAGAAATTTAGCATTACATCACTTGCTCACCAATGGGTCCTCTGCAGAGACATCAGAGGATGGACTTTTTTTTACTGGAGGAAGCATTATTATGGATTGACTGGTGTTTTGGCCAGAAGCAATGGTTTAAGTTAAAACAACGAATTCATTTATACCAGCTATTTGGTCTCTCATTCTTACATCACACATTCAGTGCAGAGGATCAATTAGTGAACAAGCGATATACTGCTAAATTTCTCCAAATCTGTTCTGATGAAGAAAAAAACTTATCTACATCTTGGATGGCCTGAGGGTGAGTAAATTTTCAGCAAATTTTCATTTTTGGTTGAACTATTTCTTTACATAAAAAAAGAAAGAAACATGACAGTAAAATAAAGCTATGTTGCCATTTATTATTTATTATCGAACTTACTATAATGGTGTTGAAGCCAGCTACAGAGAGGGCATTCCAAATGCTGTACCCATGTACCAATACAATTATGCATACTTATTCACTTACAAGAAATTAATTGCACTAGTTAATGTACGCATAACGTACATGCGGTTTCCCTTTTAACACTGACATCAGGAGGAGAGGTGCGGGAACACTAAGAATATATATATATAAGGCATTTGAGGAATATTTTCTGACATAGCCAGAAGGTTTCAGATGGAATGTGAAGTGAAAATAGTTCCAGCACATCTCCGACATAAAATGTTTGCATGAGTTAGATTTCTCCAAAAGTCTTCAAACAATTTCTCCCAAGACTATAGTACGACAAAAAAGGGAAGAAAAATGTTGGTCATCTTAAGGCAATTTTTGGCAATTTGTTTTGTTTTACACCTCAAACAGAAGTGCCTTGCTTCAGCTCTCCATCACCCTCCTGAAAAACAAAGAACATAAACAACGTTAACACAGGCATGCAGCTATTTGTCCTATACACTTTTATTAATTTGTATGATATTTGTACCTCTTCTCGCAGTTGATCCTGCAGGGTCCTGACTTGCTCTTTCTCTTTGGAAAGTTGGTCCTGACTGTTTCTTAGCAGTTGTTGGAGTTTGGTGGCTGCCTGGCCCAAATCTTTGGTCATCTTTCGCTCCTTCTCTAGACACTCCTAAAACAAAGTCATGAGCATTAGGGATTTACATAGAAACTCACTTCTAACAGTTAAACAAGAAACATTTTAGATAAAGCTCTTCCAGTATGCATGGACAAAGTCATAAATAAAAGTGCTAATTTTTTATTGCCATGTAATAAGGTAAATAAAATACATAAAAATAAACTTATTACAATAACAACTACATAAGATCTTCAGTTTAAATTTAAAAGTGCTTAATCATTGCATAATTTCTGAGTGATTTGACACTTTTTCTCTTCTTTCCTTCTATCAAAAGCAAACTCAAGAATAATAAGATTTACAAAGTTTTAATAATAATACCCAAGTGAACTGTACACAATTTAAAGGGTTAGTTCACCAAAAAATGAAAATTCTGTCATTAATTACTCACCCTCATGTCGTTTCAAACCCGTAAGACCTCCGTTCATCTTCGGAACACAAATTAAGATATTTTTGATGCATCATTCCCATGAGCTCTCTGACCCTCCCATTGACAGCAAGGGTACTACCACGATCAACGTCCAGAAACGTAGCAAGGACATCGGTAAAATAATCCATGTGACATCAGGAGTTCAACCGTAATTTTACGAAGCTACGAGAATAGTTTTTCTGCACAAAGAAAACAAAAATAACGACTTTATTCAACAATTTGTCTCCTCCGCGTCACCCTGGCGCCATTTTGGAGAGTATCTACTGAACGTAAACAACATATGCTATTCTGTGTCAGCTGCGTCATGTGGATATGTTGTTTACGTTCAGATAAAAGAGCAATGTAGACAACGTATCCGCATGACGCAGCTGACACAGAATAGCATACGTTGTTTACATTGTTGAATAAAATCGTTATTTTAGTTTTCTTTTGCACACAAAAAGTATTCTCGTAGCTTCGTAAAATTCAGTCAGACAGCTTTTAGATTCCATCAAAAATATCTTAATTTGTGTTCCGAAGATGAATGGAGGTCTTACAGGTTTGGAACAACATGAGGGTGAGTAATTAATGACAGAATTTTCATTTTTTGGTGAACTATCCCTTTAACAAGACATTACATAAATAAATTGATAAATAAATACATACATAAAATAATATACAATCTTTCAAACTGATATTTGATAAAAGTTCTAATATTTTCTCTAGAGAAATGTTTTTTAAAAATATCCACTCATTTACTTTGAGAAAAACATTTCCACAGTACCACTTTAACAGTCAAGGAACACCTACAAAAAGCATGAAAAGGCAATTCTTCTCCTTTCAATAAATACACACGGGCAAGTCTTGTGTGACCAGTTCTACATCTTGTAAATACAGTTTGGACATTTCTATTTTCAAACCAAAACCAATGATTAGATCTTTAATTTATAACTGGATTCATTGGTATTTGACATTGTCATTCCCAGCTGAAGTGCTTTCTTAGCAGCTTAAAAGAAGAAAAAAAAAGGAGAAAACACACATTATACTGGTTATCAGCTTTTCAAAGTTCAAAAATACCTTCAGCTGAACAACATCCTCCATGGCTGCAGCGTCTCCAGCTGACTTCATCTGTTCTAGATGGCTCTGAAGCTGTTTTTTGAGGGCTTCCTGAGCCTATAAAGGATGGAATAATGCGTTTAATGAATAACATGTTTTTAGAAATCTAGACGAAACAAGATCTTGAACACCACTGTACCTGCTCCACTTCTGCAGAGAGCTGCTGGTTTAGAGCCTGTTCACCTTGCAGTTTTTCCAGCGTCTGCTCCAGCTGAGCCTGGACCTGACCAAACCAACAATACCACCCAAGTAGATAGGTTATTGCTAATCCATGAACTACTGCAAACCTTTCCATGCCAGCCAACACAAGAGCTGCATTAGTGCACAATGCATCCAGAAAATGAGAGTGAAAACAAGCATAAAATCATACAAAAATAGTAGGATCTTCAAAGAAGTACGAGTTTGTGTTGTACAAATGTTAGTGGTTAAAAAAGGTAAGTGACGGATAGAACCCGAGCGCAGATATTCAGAGATGAAAACAGGCGCCTGGGTTAACAGAAGCTGCTAAAACAAAATGCTGAAATATGAATGGTTAGTATTATGAGTAAAACATCCCCTCATTGGCAGAACTGGATAGGGAGAATAACATATGGCACATAAACATAGCCTCTTGTACAGGGTAAAATCATCTCAATGTGTAGAGTGAAATGCACTATGTAAATAAATTTGACAACTTTTCTATGGATATTTTGGCATACAGACTGTCTCATAACATAATCAGCAATGTAAGCAGTATTCCAGTCAACCATTTTTGGAAAACTTATTCTATAGGCATTGATAGGTTTTGAGAAACAGCCATAGTTAGTACTGAAAAATCTATCTAAAACTGCCAAGTGAGGTGCAGGGTGCTTTTCTGTGTCGCACCCTAACCTGACACTCCTCCGCCTCAGGCTGCCCGTTCTCTGCCACTCCCTGAGCTCGCTTTGTCACGTCACTCAGTTGCTGCCCGACCTGGAAATAAAGGCTGTCACTCAACAAAACCAACTTTGTTTAATTTCCTTGGCAAAATCTCCTGTTTGGCACATGATTGTGGGTAAAAAAAGAATAGTAGGTGTAAACCTGTAGCAAATGCTTCGGACTTCAAGAGAAACCAACCTGTGAAAGCTCCTCCCTCTGCGTCTGTATCTCCTTCTGGGCCGCACTCAGCTGTCTTTCTGATTCTGCTAAAACTTGCTTCAACTGAAAACAAACAAAATGAACTGTTAAGTGGCAGAGCAGGACTAGATCTCAAGATCTTTTCACAACCATGTCAGATGTTAAAACAACCTCTTTACACAGGCAAAACCATTATAAAAAAAAAAAATAAATCAAATAAAATGCACTGAATGACTGACTAATATGGCTTTGTTTTGCTTTTGTACCTCATATTGTGTTTTAGTGAATAAGCCTTTAGGCAGGAGTGTGCACTCACGTGTGTTATCTCTTCAGATTGACTCTGGCTGTCAGTGGACACTGACTGGAGCTGTTTCTCAAATTGGGCCTCGAGCAACATCACTTTCTCTTCCAGCTGCACGGGGGGAAAATAGATAGATACAGAATACAGATTGAATGACAATTTCAGGTGAGAAAATGAGGAATATTGAGTGCCATTAAAATGTACTTCTTTATATACAGTGCCGTGAAAAGGTTTTTGCCCCCTTCCTGTTTTTTAAAGGTTTTGCATATTTGTCACACTTAAAAGATTCAGATCATCAAACAAATTTTAATATTACACAAAGATAATGCAATTAAATACAAAATGCAGTTTTTAAATGATGATTTCATTTATTAAGGAAAAAAAGCTGTCCAAACCTACCTGGCCCTACGTGAAAAATTAATTGCCCCCTCCTGTTAAATCATGAAAGAACTGTGATTAACCACATTATTTTAGAAAGCCGAGTTAAATTTCACTAGCCATACCTAGGCCCGATTACTGCCAGACCTGTTGAATCAAGAAATCACTTAAATAGAACCTGTCTGACAAAGTGAAGCATGCTTAAAAGAGCAACACATCATGTTGCGATCTAAAGAAATTCAAAAACAGATGAGAAACAAACTAGTTGACATGTATCAGTCTGGAAAAGGTTATAAAGCCATTTCTAAGGCTTTAGGACTCCAGTGAACCACGATCAGAGCCATTATTCACAAATGGAGAAAACTTGAAACAGTGGTGAACCTTCCCAGGAGCAGCCTGCCTACCAAAATTACTCCAAGTAATGACGACTCATCCAGGAGGTCATAAAAGAACCCAGAACAACATCTAAAGAACTGCAGGGCAATTACTTTTTCACGTAGTGCCAGGCAGGTTTGGACAGCTTTTTTCCCTTAATAAATGAAATCATTATTTCAAAACTGCATTTTGTATTTACTCGGGTTATCTTTGTGTAATATTAAAATTTGTTTGATGATCTGAATCATTCAAGTGTGACAAAAATCCAAAAAAAAAAAAAAAAAACAGGAAGGGGGCAAAAAAGTTCACACACCACTGTACACTTGGGTTCAAACTTCTAAGGTAGCATACACCAGACAATAAACAAATTGTGGAAAATCTACCAGGATAACCTACATACTGAATCTGTTAAAAAATTCCTTAGTCTTTCCTTTCTGTGACGTTTTGGCCTGGAGGAAAGCTACAGGAGTCTACAATGAATTAAATGCCAGTAAATTTGCTACTCACATTTAATTAAATCATAACTTAACATAACATTTAAAAGGCTGTGTCACAATTCCCTTATTTCAGTTATCAAGTGTAAAATTTGATAACTGAAATAAGGGACTTTTAAAGACTTTTACGACCTTAAATTTGAGTTTTTAAGGACCCACGAAGACCTTGCATATAAATGGTTAAATTTGCTCAGTGGAGAAAAAGTAATTTGAATGTAAATCAATAATAAATGAGAATGCATTAGTTGAGTCCTAATATGAAATATTTAATATATTAATAATACTTTATTTTCTTAGTCACTGGATTTTTCAGTTTATGATTTATTTATAGAGCCTGACACATTTTTGCACTCTGTAACACTCATCTTTTGTATTCCTATAGTGTCCTGCTGTACAAAAACTCATTTCCACAGGTGAAATCTGTACCTGTTGGGTTCTCTGGTTCTCCTCTCTCAAGCTCTCTGTTGTCTCTTCTAATTCCTGCACCTTTTTGAGTGCCTACATAAAATGACAGATTGAAAACATAAAATGACAGACAAACTCTCACACTCGCTTTCACTTGGAGGTGGTATGACCCTCCAAATTCCCCCTGAAATATTATGAGCGTTTTCCATAACACTTGGATAACAAAATCATAACCAAAATATATATTTTCTATAATCAAAGAAAAATGAATAAAGTCTTCTTCATTATTATAGTACTTACACTATGTCTGCAGATTTATATGTGTGTGTGTTAATACAGTGAATAAACCCTACCATTCTCAGTTTCTCCTCTGACTCTATTATCTGGGTCTTCCACACTTTCTCCTCCTCCTCTACACTCTTCTGAAGTGTTTTCAGCATCCCCTCCTAAACAACATCAGGAAACAAATCCGGCTCGATCACATTCTCATTAAGGCTTTGCTGAAACAGATTCTTGGTGTATAATCTCACCGTCTCAGCCAGTACGCTCCTGTACTGTTCACACTCAGACTGTAATGTGCACTGACTCTCCTGGGCTGTCTGTAGTTTCCCCATTATCTCCTAATAATAAAAACAGCATTGTAGTAACTACAAATATGCCTTACATCCCCAGTAGGGGACAACAAAGAGCCACATTAAGATGATTATCGCACAAGACCACAAACCACAGTACACTTACCACCATCTCTGTGCTTTGCTGGGATTCTTGGCTCTGTTGCTTTTGATTTAACATCTCTTGTGCTTTCACAGCAAAGTCTTGCAGCCAATTGGTCTGAAGAAAGAGAATGAGAGACTCAGGATTAGCTAGCATTCAAAGTGTATCAAGTGTATCAAGTATGCTACCATTCAGAGGTTGGGGGGTCACTACGATTTTTTTTTATATAAGATTTTTTGATTTAGATTATTTTTTTTATATACAAAATTGATTAAAAAAATATAAATAAAACATTTATTGAGCACCAAAATCATCATATTAGAATGAACTGAAGGATCATGTGACACTGAAGACTGGAGTAATGCATACTGAAAATTCAGCTTTGCCATCACAGGAATACATTAAAATTGTAAAAATATTAATATAGAAAACAGTTATTTTAAATTGTAATCTATTTCACATTATTACAGTTTTTACTGTAATTTTGATCAAAGAAATGCAGCCTTGGTGAACAAACTTTTGAATGATACTGTATGTATAGAGGGACTGATGTTATGCGTTTTTGCTTTTCCAAAACACACCAATATTACAAGTGGATCCAAAAACAAAACTGAGAAATGAAACCACAAGAAAACTGAAATCCTAGACACCTGCGTTGTCTCTATGTTGAAGTGTGGGAAAAGAGAATGAAGAACTTCTTTGGTCTCAGCCTGGACAGATTTCAGCATGTCCTCCAAACTTTCCTGTAACAACATTATATGCTCAGTGACAGCTGAACGCAATATTCACATTAACACCTCTAAAACCAACAAAAATGCAACTCTAAGCACAGAAATTCAACAAAAAAAATTTTTAATCTTCTGTCTTAGTTAAAAGCGGAGACACTGGAATAAATAGTGGATTAACATGAAACATAAATGATTTGAGGTTTCTTTAAAACTAAAAACTGTTGAGTAAAATGATGACCCTTAACACTTCTTTTATCTGTCACCATTTTTACACACACAGAAAAACCTATATATGGTTCTTTAAAAGTCCTGAAATAGAAATGGAAGAACACTACAACATTCTGCTTTGTACTGCAAGACCATATACCCAGCTGACATGAGATAAAATGTGTGCCTACGCATGTTTTATGAATCACTGTGTACATGTAAGATAATGACAAGCACGTCCACAGTTGTCTCAGTTCGCTACTTACGCAACTCTTGCCTTGTGACTGATTTAGTTCCTTGAGCTGCTGCACTTCCTGTTGTAGTGATGTCACTAGGCTCTCTTTTTCAGTGACACTGAAAAACATTATAAAAGCCACTTGGCTTTTGTGGAGGAAGACACTTATCACAGAATGGTGTTAATGTGGGTGGCTGACAGGAGCATATACATGCAGTGGCCTTCAGTAAGACTGAATATGTACCTTTTATGTAGTGACTCCAGCTTGGCTGTGCTGTCTGCCAGCTGTAAATGAAGGGTGCATTATTAGAAAATGGTGCGTTGTTTTAAATTAACAAATGATGCACTTTAGCTTTAAAAGTCAAACATACTAATATAGAATAACAGTGAAGTCTCACTTACTTTAGTGTCATACTGTTCTTTACACTGCTTCATCTCTTCTTCAAACAGAGCCACCCGAGACTCTCTTTCTTTCAAACTACAGAAACAGGAAGAAGAGAGCATATGGCATTAAATCTTAATAAGAGAATGAGAAAAACACATGAATTTGAAGCTGTTGTTTGCATCACAAATGACGCATACCTGTTTTGAAGCTGTTCCAGCATTTCTGTGTTTTCAAGCTAGAAATAATAATAATTAAAAAATGGGATTAATGGTTAAGTCTAAATTGAACGATTGTTTGAAGTGTGAGGGTTTGCATATGATAAACTTACTCTGGTGAGGTCTGAACTTTTTTCTTTAACCTGTTGGAGCTCTCCCTGGAGAGTTGCTATTTGGTCATCCTTTTCTTTAATGCTTCAATTCAAAGGAAAAGATCAAAAACATTTAAATCATTCAAATCAACTACTGAAATGTATTAATGAAGCATCAGAAAACATCCTTATTGTACCTGTGCTGCAACTGCTGCACCTTTGTTGTGTTATCCACCTGAAGAGGACATGTGATTGGTTCAAATAAGGTAGCACAACAAATCACATGCTTTACACATTAAAAGTCAAAGTTACTAATGAAATACTAAAATGAGCTGAAAATGTCTAAAAAGCAGTATGTTCGGCTTCACCTGATTGGCGATGATGTTTTTGAGTTGGATCAGTTCCTCTTCTTTCTCCTTCAGGCTAGAGATTAAACAATCAATGTGAATTCATGTCCAACAAATGTTAGCTGTAAAGCTGATACATTTATTGATGCATTTTTTTTTTGTTTAATTGTACTAAAATTGTATGACTGTTATGCAAAAAACAAGAAAATTTGTCACTGGAGAACAAATAAACATTTCATCATCATCTGAAAACAAGTCTTATCAACTTACACAATTTTTGCGTCTCAAGCAAATATGGCCTTTTATCTTACCTACTCTTTGCTTGCTCCAGTTCAGCCATCGAAGCCTGTAAATATTACACATGCAAATGACCTCACAACCATATATTTCATAATTTACATAATGTTTAACAAACTTGAACCCATTTATTCAATTTGACACATCTCAGAAAGCAGAATGTCACCTCTGAATTGTGGTTCTGTTCTTTGTTTTGGCTCGCCTCCAGCAGTTTCAGCTGGCTCTGCAGACTCTCCGACTGTCCAGTCCGCTCTTTCATTTCCGCCTCCATACTGGCCACACGAGCTTGAGCCTCTGAAACATTGCAGTGACGAAGAGAACTCATATTTCTAATTACTAATTCATAACTTCGCTAATGCTTTTGTCCAAAGCGACATATAGTACACAAGAAACCTGATGTTAAGCGTTTTGTTAGAGGACACATTGTGGGTACTGCAAGCATTATACCTGGCCTGATTTGCAGCTCAGATCTAACCAACTTTTTCAGTTATAAAGAAATGTTTTTAAAGCAGACTGAATCTTGTGGTTCTACAGAGTGCATCCTTGCTTAAGAACCAAGTGGGTACTGACCTGCTAGAGCAGTGGTGTCTTTCTGAGCTTGTTCAAGCTGTGTCTGAAGGCTGTTTCTGCTGCTCTGGGTCAGTCTGAGCTCCTCACTCACTTCCTCCAGACGCTTCTGCAGGGCCTGTTCACTGCTCACCCAGTTCGCCTGCAGGGGACAAAGCATGAAAACAGAAAACAATTCAGATTTGGCCGCACAACGCCACTAAATTCGGAGTCTTTATGAACCAAATAGGTGATATCTCATAAACAGTAGAGTACAGTGCTAGCAACACCAAGGTCATAGGTTCGATACCTAGGGAAAGCAAGAACTGATAAAACGTGTACCTTGAATGCAATCTAAGTCGCTTTGGATGAACACAATGGACCATAACCACCTAAAATTTTTAAACACCTAAAAACAGTAGCCACAATTTTGTGTTCAGATATGATAAACAACATTCAAACAGTTTAACTTTTTTTGGAGGGAGGCAACGTAAATTAAATTTATTTTATGTCCTAATGTTTTAGACTAATTTCTAACAGGGAACTAACATAACATAGGAACATTGAATCTCTTCGTGTTCGATTACTCAGAGATTATATCAAAACCTTACAAAAAATAAGACTTCTCATAAGGTTGCTCTACACAAAAAAAATCTATTTAGATCACTGACTCACACTCTCCAGACATTACCCATGTCTCTCCTAAGCCAGTGCACCGTCTAGATGCTTAAAATGGGCTCAGGACACACTTCAACACAAGGCTGCTTTTTATTCAGCGTCTTTGGTTTGTAGCAGAGGATTAGCGAAGAGACGTTTTATCTGTGTTTCCAGTATGAATAATCAGATACTTCTGCCTGAAACTGTACTGCTCAGGCAGGCTCACATTCCAGATCGCTCGAAGAAGCGCTTCTCTCTAGTGTGGGCCATGTTCCAAACCACAGAGCACTGCTGAGTGATCAAACTGGCAATCAAATGTTCTGCCAGCATGTGAACAATCCCATTAGTAGAGGCACCAGCACTGGGGGGTCAAAGCCTCAACTTTACCAGCAAGCCTAGTCAAGCTTCTTAAATACACACACTGATTGCAAGAAACCAAGTTTGTCTACCTGCGGATGTGGCTAAACAGCCCAGCGAGAGGTAGCAGAAAGCTCTAATGAGGCTGGTGCTTATGCTGGGCGATGTTTTATAAGAATTAGAGTGGCATTTTGAACTCTTTCATAAGAGGCATCACAAAACTAACTACAACTCAGCAAACTAAACAACAGGAATGATTGGTGTCTGTGGTGCAAAGAAGGGTGAGTATCTGACCTGCAGCTGGATCAGTTGTTTCTCAGCCAAGGCAGCTTTAGATTCCAGATTTTTCCTGAGCTGTTCGTCAGCCTGCAAGGCTTCGTTCTTCTCCACCAGCTCCTTATTCAGTCGAATGCAGTCCTGATGCAGTTTGGCCAATTCAGCATTTTGTCTAATGGATAAAAAAAAAAAATTACCATTCTGGACAACACAGTGTAGTTGTCATCATAACCAGTGGCAATCATCAACAACCCACATGAAGACATTTTTACGGCTGCTTGGATACTACTGTTGCAATCTTATTGGTCAAAAGTTTTGATCATCCAGGTGTCTCTGATATAAAGCAATGTTTGTCACTATTGTGATTATTGGGTTTGGCAGGAGCTGTAGGTTCATACTTGCTCTCCATCTGACTGGTGGCTTGGTTAAGCGCATCTCTGAGGATAGAGTTCTCCTGCTGTAAACGGGCCAGCTGAGCATTAGGGCCTTTCTCCAGCTGGTCCTGGAGAGCCAAGATCTAAGGAGGAGCAGAAAGGGCTTAGGCACGTCACGTAAATATTAGGGCTGCCAAAGCCCACTAATGTGATTAATTAAAAGCATCTAATCCTGTTAAATTTAATGCATTCACTTATACCTAACGTTAATGAGAATACTTTCATCTATGTTACAATGTATAACAAATAAATGCATCATTTGGAAGAAAAATAGTTTGGTCACTTCATAATTTGAGATTAACCATGGTTTTTTAGTCCTACTAAATAAATATTTTGCTAGATGTCCTTGTAATCACGTGACTTTTTAGAGAGTCTTGCTACCATGCAAGTGTACAGCAGAGAATCTCACTTTAGCATTAAGTTGCTGAGTCTCAGCAAGGTGGTCTTGATAACTGGCCTGCATGCGTGCTTGCAGCGCGATAATGTCCTGCTCTCGTTTACTCAGCTGAGAGCTCAGCCTGGTCTCTACAGACGCCACCTTTGACTTCTCCACAGAGAGCTCCTATACAACAAACATAAATCATATGCAGGTCATGATCTGGCATGAAAACAGGCCATCAAAATACTTGTGGCTTCTAGTTGAAGGGTTGTGTAGAGCTGGTAAAAAAATTTGTAGACAACCATTCAAAAAGTTTTTTTTTTGCTTGAAAGAATTTATTACTTTATATTCAACTAGGACTCATTAACTGATCAAAAGTAATTATTGTTTTCAATATTACCAACCCCGAACTTTTGAATGGTAGTGTAGGTTTAAACCTTGGCACTATCACCATCAGACCAAAGCAAAATATTTAATCAAGAGACTGGGCAGTTTTCCCCTATTAGAGTCCATATAAGGCTTAATGCGTGTGCACATATCAAACTTTTCCTAATTTGTATGTGATTATTTTTTAGACTGCCATGAGTGTTTCAGGCCTCACTTTAGTCAAATCCCTCAGTCGGCTTTTAACAGCTGCTGAGTCCTCCTGCTCGGCTGCCAGCTGCTTGTCTCGTTCTTCCAGCTGTTTCTTCAGCACAACTACTGGATCACTCTTCTGTGTGGCCTATAAACATGCATAAAACTCTGTTTAGTCAAACTGCTTGGTTGAGTTTAAATAAAGTGATAGAAAGTGAAAGAACACTCATTTAACAATATAAAACAAGACATACAAAAAGATTTTAGGAAGTTGCCCATACCTTGTGCCATGTGTCCTGAACAATGCCAGCCTTATCAGACAGAATCTCAATGAGCTGCTGGGCCTCTCCTTCAGTGAACACCGTAATCCTTACCGTGGAAAGCAGGGCCTTGTAGGGCAAGTACAGTGGACTGTCCGCAGGGTCTGCAGCCACCGCTAGAGAGAAAGAAACAAAAAACAGAACATTTATTAAGGTTATGCCCAAGAAAAAAAGATAGAAAACTGCTATCCACTCAGAAAACACAGTTACATCCTTTTGGAGTGCCAGTGTCATTCTGTATTTGAGAGACGCTAAATCAGAAAGCTAAGAAGTGCTCTGTGGCAAAACCGTCTCTGGTCGCAGCAGGGTGTCCACTAAACTAAACGAATTGTGTTTATGAGTGAATTCTCCAAATCATTTTATTACACTCCTAAACATTCCCTAAACACCCACACAAAGATCTACAGCATCCAATCAAACATGTTGAGAACAGCAGAGTCATAAAATAAAACATACAGACCAAAACAAGTGCAGCTTCCAGAGAATAACGTGTACAATACAGTTAACTGAAAGCTTGTACAGAGGTGTGTGTATGCACTTTCATGGAGCAGCAGAGGCAAAAGTATTGTTTGAACAGGGCCAAGAGGGCTGTGCTTCGTGAAGAGGAGTGGAATTCTGGGTGCATGGAAACGCACCTGTGTGCTGCCACAAACTCTCTGCTTTTTCCCATGGCCAAAGCAGAGCAATACCTCATCACAAGCAAGTGGAAAATTCATAAGGACTGACTCTGTGTGCATGCATAAAAGGAGTTCAAAAGAGTCTGAGAAAGAAATGTTTGACCACATAAAAAAAAATACCTACAGTAGTAATGAGACATGACCAGAGTTATTTTATTATCATTTAATAGATTAAAGTATTTATACATTAAAAAAAATGTACATTTTGATTTATTTTTTACTTTAAGTTCTAGTGATTTGGTTAGTAATTTTTATTAGTTTTTCTCTATTTAGTTTTGGTAAATCTATTGCATTTCTACTTTTAGTAATTTTACTACAACTTAACATGTTAGCTAACTAAAATTGTTTTTTTATATTTTATTTTAATTTACATAAAAAAATTTTATTATTAGTTTTACTTGATAACAACACTGAAAGGTTGACTATTCTAGCAATAAATTAACTAAAGCGTTAGGTTGAGCGATTTATCTAGATTTTTTTAGTGGTATTGCTCTATTTTGTGTTGTGACTAGTCGATTTTGACAATATGTAGTTTTTCACATCTCTAGTTGACACAGTGAGCAAAAAAGCGAGAAAGAAAGGCACAGAGAATAAAGTGAAGTCAAAATTATGCATAACATCATAAGAAATCAAGGGCAAGGCAGAATGTGAAACTGTTATTAAATGAAACTCAAACTATGTGCTTAAGAGCCTGTGAACTAGCACACACACGTGCATGAAAACCAGCACAAGAGCAGAAGAATGCAGCTCACTGCCTCCAATCCCCTGTGAGTAGCACTTCAGACAGAAACCCACTCGGTGCTCTCTGCAACCAATCAGAGCCAACATCAGCAAATAAGGAGTAGTGCAATTCCAACACCCCGCCCACAAAGGAAATAGAGCACATCAGCGCTATTTGTCAGAAGAAACAATCCAGACGGTACTCTGAACGAGATGACTGACATCAGGAAGTGACACGTATACGTATATAAACTTACGAGTCAGCCACTTCACATATACCATATTTTCAGGTTTTCCAGGCTCCACTTGGAGGTTTATTACATGTAGATGTCATCTGTGTGGTCTAGCTAAAACAATTTTATCTCTGTGTATTTAAGGGTCTGGCAAACCAATCAGAAGTATCCTGTTATTGCACACTGAGGCCATACTTCATTTAAGACATACCTGGATTGAATATATTCATTTGGACTGGCTTTTTTAAAAATTACAGGTCTAACATTAGCATCTGCTACACTTCAGAAAAATTAAACTGCATTCTCCTGATAATGTACAATTACAAAATAAATAAATAAATAAAAGTATAAATATAAATACTATATATATAATAATAAATATAAATACAACATATAATAAATACATAATAATTACATGTAACATTAAGTATCTATAAACATAAAAGAAAAGAAATATTTTCAATATTAATCTTTATTAATATGTAATAAAGATATTAAAGATGTACAAACAGAGAATGTGGGAATGAAAGGAAAACATTGGCACTCAAATTCAAACTCCATGTTTGCAGAGCACATACAAAAATCATTTGTCATGGATCAGACAAATATGAATATGAAAAAATGGCAAATCCTTCAAAATTAATGTTAACCTAATATAATCACTAGGTTAAAGCATTAGAGAGTCATTTTTTAGCTGCAGTCTAGTGCCTATGAAGACTGTAATGTAAGCATTCATTTTCAGCAGCACCTGTTAGTCCTTCAATGTAGCAAAAGAAAGACAAGGAGGAGGAATAGGAAACAGAGTAATAGACAAACTATGACTCCTGAGGTTTGATGATACCTTAGTGCATCCTACTGACTACCACTGAAAGCTACTTTTATTAATAATAATATTATTGTTAATTATTATGCCAATTAAGAGAAATGTCTAAAAATGTACAGTTGCAAAGAGAAACAGGAAGGGGCAGCCTCCTCCACTTCCTTTAGGTCTGTGCAGCCCGCCTAGTAATAATCTGACCACTTAATATAGGTGATTTTGTGGAGATAATAGCATACCTGTCTCTGACTTCTTCTTGGAACCTCCTTTCTTCTTGGCTGGAGCATCCTGTTTGGGCTCTTCTGCTTTGGCCGGCACAGCAGTTGCTGAGACAGCTTTCGGAGTACCCACTGGAGGCACTGCCATGACGGGAACCTTTTTGGTCACCATCTCCAATGGAGCTACAGATTTGGGCTGAATCTCAGCAGAAACAGGCTCTGCTTTGGCTTTCTTCTTCCTCTTTTCCTTAGGAGATGGGGCAGGCGGAGCATCTTCGGGAGCAGGACGGGAAGCAGGAGGGGTAGGACCTGCAGAAGCTTTTTGGGAAGGGGCCGGGGCCGGGGCAGGTGGACTGGGTTTTCGGTCGGGTGGAGAGGATTTCTGCACTGGGGCTGGTGGAGTGACTTTCTGGGCTGGGGCAGGTGAGGCAGCTTTCTGGGTCGGGGCATTTGAAGCAGACCTTTGGGGTGGGGCAGGCTGAGAAGATTTCTGTGTTGGGGCAGTTGGAACATCATTTTGGGTTTGGGCAGGCTGAGAAGATTTCTGTGTTGAAGCAGCCTTTTGGGTTTGGGCAGGCTGAGAAGATTTCTGCGTTGGGGCAGTTGGAACATAATTTTGGGTTTGGGCAGGCTGAGAAGATTTCTGTGTTGAAGCAGCCTTTTGGGTTTGGGCAGGCTGAGAAGATTTCTGTGTTGGGGCAGTTGGAGCAGCCTTTTGGGTTTGGGCAGGCTGAGAAGATTTCTGTGTTGAAGCAGTTGGAGCAGCCTTTTGGGATGGGGCAGGTTGAGAGGATTTTTGTGTTGGGGCAGTTGGAGCAGCCTTTTGAGTTTGAGTAGATTTTTGTGCGGGGGCCGGTGGAGCAGATTTTTGTGCAGGGGCTGGTGGGGCGGCTTTCGGGTCTGGGGCAGGTGGAGCTGCTTTCTGGGCATCTGAAGCAGACTTCTGAGCGGGGGTAGGTGAAGCGGATTTCTGTGCAGGGGCAGCTGGAGCGGACTTTTGGGCTGGGGCTGGTGAAGATTTCTGGGTAGGAGGAGGTGAAGCAGATTTCTGGGCAGAGGGAGTTGGAGAGGATTTCTGGGCAGGAGGTGCTGGAGTAGACTTTTGGATAGGTGCAGCAGATTTCTGAGCTGGGGCAGGTGGAGTGGGCTTCTGAGAAGGGGTGGGTTGAGGAGACTTCTGAGCTGTGGCCTCTTGTTTAGGTACTGGTGTAGAAACTTGTTCTGGGGCTGGAGGAGTTGGAGGACTGGGCTCAGCTGGCACTTCTGTAACCTCAGGGGTGGCCTCTGACTCCAGGAGCTTCCCGTTGGGCTTATCTTCCTTTTTCTTAGCACGATTTTTTTTCTCAGCTGCCTTGTCCTTTTTCTTCTTGTCCGACCGTTGGCTGGATAGGGTCTTCCCCTGCTCCTTCAGCTGCTTGGCTATAGCTTCTTCATATGAGGTCTCCTTCATGGAAAATGTTGAGACCAGAGCAATCCCAATGGCTGAGAACACCATGAAGCCACCAAACACCACAATTCCAAGGGTCTGAGGATCGTAGATGTCCATGACTGCTAGTTTGCGTTCGGATTAAAAAGAAAAAAAGTGTAAGGTTTGGTATACTTATGTCAATAATATTTGTATATTCAAACATAATATATTCCATACATTTTAAAGCTCCATATTAAGGCAGTTAAAGCTTCCAGTAACGTAAGTCCCTCTAACCTTCAGATTATCTTTATCAAACATATTTATCGCTGTACTAGTTAAAATGTTACACCAAGCAAGGACATTATACTAAGTTGGCTTTTGAATGTTGACCTGAAGAAAAGCTTCTTCCATACAATATGCAAACACTGCATTTGGTAGAAGAGGTCCATGCAACCAAAAAAAAAAAACAAGTATAGATGTCCAAGTGTGCTACCCTCAACTTCTACTACAAAAACTTTGACGAAAAGCTGCTTCCCTACAATATGCAAACACTCTGTTTTTTTAAAAAGGAGTTATGTAAGAGAGTTTTCCATTCCACCATGTGCTGCTGTCTGCAAATTTCTATACTCTGCTGCTTCCATGGGACTCATGCCAATCTCACACTTCAAATGTGCACCAAAGCACAAATGTGTTGCAAAAAAAGCTGTGAACTTGACATATCCCAGAAGCAAGAACAATCTAGACAACTTTCAGAGCACAATAGAGGTTTAGTGGCCATCGGTAGCATGTACATTGGAATGCTAAGTTTTTGGGTAAACAGATTTGCGCATAGACTGCTCTATTTTCCATAGCCTATGTTTTCTTGTGTTGTAATATATAATGACTTGGTTGGGTGCCAATTAATTATTAGATTAGATTATACAGGAAACTTAAATGAATGAAAAAGCATAATCAATATTAGATTAAAAAATATACTGTAAGATTATTTGCATTATGTTTATACCTTGATATCCACTTATAGACTTGCTCATTTATAGTGAAATGCGCAAACAGGAGAAAATGAGGGCGGGGGGATTTTTTCTCTGAAATTTCAATGATTGTGCCTGTAAAATGTGACAGACTGTATTTATGTTGTACATTTATTTCTGTCTTACATATTTAAATGTTATAAGAAATAATCATTAATAATAGTTATTATATGGTTCATTTGCAATGACTTTACTGGGAGCCATTTAAAGAGCCAATAGGAAATTACGGGGAGATTCAACATTTGCTATGAAACTGAATTAAAAGGCTGATTCATATTAGATGAAACAGGATTTGTTCCATATTCCATATTCTCATTTGACACCTATTCATGATGTTGCTGTTCAATGAACATACAATAAGAAATCAAGGCTGAGAGTTTGTGAACCCTACAGCTATTCTTGAAGTATGAATGATCTATCAAAATTATGTTTAAACAAATTTCGGATAATTCTCACAGACATTAAAGCTGTTAGAGCCGAAATGTGTTATTTAATATACAGTTTTCTTTGCTAGCTCATAAAGGAAAAGCTGGAGTTAACGTTAACTGTGTGCCTACAACAGAGCATCACTCGAACCAAATTGTGAAGCCACTTATTATAGTCATGCTATTCGCTTCGTACCTACAATAAGATGTCTTCGACCCACTGGGCTTATGAGCTAGTTAAAGAGGGAGTAAATAAACGGGAGAAATCAACGTTTACTGCTAATAGCTACTAAAAATCTTTTAAGATTATAATGAATAACACCATAACAAAAGCTTTAAATAGCTCACCTTTTCTCGCGGCAGATTTCCGTTGGATGAATCACTCCAGGAAGAGTTTAAGCAGAAGTGATTATTCTGAGGAGTCTGTGTGGAGTCGTGGCACTTTCTCGCGCTGGCATTACGCCGGTCAGTGGTCCACATTCCCTTCATCCTGAAGACAGCTGATTGGCTAGAGTGGAGTCAGTCAAACAGATGCGAACCAATAGAATTTTGTTGTCGTAAAAGAAGGCTGGTCTTTTTATTTTAATGGGAGTTGTAGTTTTTCTCACAGATTTCAATCGACTACCAAACACACACACACACACACACACACACACACACACACACACACATATATGTATAGTAACACAGACAATTATTTCAAATATATTATGACTCAATTAAATTTTATTTAAAAATACAAAACACAGTTAGTTTAAATATTAATTTAAAATACAGCCTTTAATTTCCACCATTTGTTTCACATGAAAATAACTTTTAATGGATAATAATTCCATATTTAACGGATTAGATGCCTCGAAAAATAAGAAAATAAGAAACAATACCTTGCTGTGAACATTTATACAAAAGAAAATCCAGCTTTAAGGAAACTGTTTTCAGAGTCATTAACTACCATTTATATCAGTCTTATGAGTGATTGTTTAAAAGGTTGCTTTAAAGGTTGTTTAAAACTGTTTAATATGCTGTGACTGTGGGCAAAGACTGTTTTAAAAGTAATGTGTAAATGAAGGTGTGAATTATTTATTGCTAATGTCCTTTACAAATCAATATAAGACAAGTCAGTATTTATATTCTTTATCTTTAATTACCTTAAGCTTATACCATGTCACTCAGTTATGGAGCTGTTTATTGAACATAGATGAACATATATTGAACATAAACAAAAATCTTAATTTAATTTTGAAAGGTTATTCTTTGGTGTGGTTGTGTTGTGTTGTGTTGTGTTGTGTTAGGTGTGTGGTGTAACATTAATTTGTTTAGCAGCGGGTGTGGTTTCCATAGCGCACTAGACCATCAGTAGGAAAGTTTTTTAAATATTTAAACATTTAAATGTTACAAATTATATAATTTAATTATAACTTTAATAATGATGAATGAGGCTTCAAAACATATCATGCTTTGTAGAAGTCAAACATACATCACTGTACACTTCAAAGCAGATTTTAAGAACTGTGAGGACTCATACTAAAGTTTACTTTAAAGGAGTGGACGCACACATTCCACATTCATTTGTTTATTGTGTATTAGCATGGTGTAATAGTACTCACAGAATCAAATTGAATAAGAGGGTGTTGAAAGAAACACAAAGTAAAGCAATTTTAGTGCGTCACTCCACACCTTCTTGCCTCTCCTAAGAAACACAAGTAACTTGTAACACAAGTAACATGCTTTCATTTAATTACTTTCCAGTTGAAATGTCTTGTCTGTTGTTTTTTCTTTGCAGTTTACATTTCTATATAAGCACAGAATATTCTTCGATAGGTGACAATAGTATGCACTACTGCATTATTCAGACTTCATCTTCTTTGTAGTTGCATAATCCAAGACTGTTGAACCTGCACATGTAAAACACATTTGCCAAATTTATATTGTGTGATATACAAGTTACATACATTTTCTTTAAAAATCAAAACAACATGTCCAAACATATCCTAATTCAATATTTTCAAATGTTTATTCACCCTCAGGATAAAAAACAGTGCCCACAAAATGTATTTGCTTCATAATAGTCTTGAGTTTTACAACAGGTCCCATATGTATGTAAATGAAAACACACACACACACACACACACACACACACACACACACACATATATGTATAGTAACACAGACAATTATTTCAAATATATTATGACTCAATTAAATTTTATTTAAAAATACAAAACACAGTTAGTTTAAATATTAATTTAAAATACAGCCTTTAATTTCCACCATTTGTTTCACATGAAAATAACTTTTAATGGATAATAATTCCATATTTAACGGATTAGATGCCTCGAAAAATAAGAAAATAAGAAACAATACCTTGCTGTGAACATTTATACAAAAGAAAATCCAGCTTTAAGGAAACTGTTTTCAGAGTCATTAACTACCATTTATATCAGTCTTATGAGTGATTGTTTAAAAGGTTGCTTTAAAGGTTGTTTAAAACTGTTTAATATGCTGTGACTGTGGGCAAAGACTGTTTTAAAAGTAATGTGTAAATGAAGGTGTGAATTATTTATTGCTAATGTCCTTTACAAATCAATATAAGACAAGTCAGTATTTATATTCTTTATCTTTAATTACCTTAAGCTTATACCATGTCACTCAGTTATGGAGCTGTTTATTGAACATAGATGAACATATATTGAACATAAACAAAAATCTTAATTTAATTTTGAAAGGTTATTCTTTGGTGTGGTTGTGTTGTGTTGTGTTGTGTTGTGTTAGGTGTGTGGTGTAACATTAATTTGTTTAGCAGCGGGTGTGGTTTCCATAGCGCACTAGACCATCAGTAGGAAAGTTTTTTAAATATTTAAACATTTAAATGTTACAAATTATATAATTTAATTATAACTTTAATAATGATGAATGAGGCTTCAAAACATATCATGCTTTGTAGAAGTCAAACATACATCACTGTACACTTCAAAGCAGATTTTAAGAACTGTGAGGACTCATACTAAAGTTTACTTTAAAGGAGTGGACGCACACATTCCACATTCATTTGTTTATTGTGTATTAGCATGGTGTAATAGTACTCACAGAATCAAATTGAATAAGAGGGTGTTGAAAGAAACACAAAGTAAAGCAATTTTAGTGCGTCACTCCACACCTTCTTGCCTCTCCTAAGAAACACAAGTAACTTGTAACACAAGTAACATGCTTTCATTTAATTACTTTCCAGTTGAAATGTCTTGTCTGTTGTTTTTTCTTTGCAGTTTACATTTCTATATAAGCACAGAATATTCTTCGATAGGTGACAATAGTATGCACTACTGCATTATTCAGACTTCATCTTCTTTGTAGTTGCATAATCCAAGACTGTTGAACCTGCACATGTAAAACACATTTGCCAAATTTATATTGTGTGATATACAAGTTACATACATTTTCTTTAAAAATCAAAACAACATGTCCAAACATATCCTAATTCAATATTTTCAAATGTTTATTCACCCTCAGGATAAAAAACAGTGCCCACAAAATGTATTTGCTTCATAATAGTCTTGAGTTTTACAACAGGTCCCATATGTATGTAAATGCTAGAAAAACTGGCATGAAACTGTTGGATTTACTGCTGACTCGTGGATTTATCGGTAAGCCATTCGAGGTCAAGTCAGCGTGGTCTGTTTGCTAAGTGAGTGAGCAAGTCAGAGTTACAGTAGTGCATGGTCTAGAAAAGTATTGTCAAAGGACTATTTGCAATTTTTCATTCATTGCTTGTTATTGTCTAACCCTAATGGTTGTAATTAGCACATGGACGTAAATGCAAAAGAATAATAAATGTTACCTTTGTTCATATTAAATGCGTTCACTTTAAAAATCAAGCTAGAAACAAAAATATAATAAATATTCTAAAAATGCTTTTGCAATTACACAAAAAATACAGTACAAACAGCACGTCATTTTAAAGTCTTTTGCATTGTTCTCTAGTCTAGAGCACAGATGGAGTCCAGAACATTATATAACCTATAAATGACTGCATGGTGGATACTCAGCTGTTACTGCAATGTTTGATGTCTGTAGAGCAAACAAAACTGCTTCTCCAACTTTATCAAGAGAAGTGGACAAACTGGTCTGCTTGGTGAAGGTACAGTATATAAAAGGACTATACATTTCTGAGAATCATAGATATCCAAATTTCTGTCAGAGCCAAGTTGCTTCCTGTTGTTTTTGTGCTGAGTAATGGATTTTCATCACATTTTCCTTAGGTCCATTTATAATGTTAGTTATAAAGTAATTGAGTGTTTCAGGTCCATTTTCATTCACTCATTTATTTATGTATTTAATGATTTATTTACACCTTTACTTGTATCTAATATTTACCTGGATTGAACACCCTGAAGCAGACCAAGCAGTGCCAAGAGCACGGTCTTATCTAACCACTCAAGGGACTGAACACAGGGGAATCAGAGCAGATGCTCTCACTGACTTTAGAGAATATCGTGGAGTACTTCAGAGCACTTTCAGCACCTGAGTTTCTAACTGTTCATACAGTCTGGGTTACAGCAAAATTTTCTGTCAGTTTGCATGCTCATTATGAGTTTTGTCCCTTTTGTAGTCTTGTTGGGTAGCCCCGCCCATTGTGAAATCTCATTGGCCAAAACACGCTCCTAACATTAATCAGGAAATACTCCTAAATATCTTCTCATTGATATTGACTTTTTATGTCACTATCAACTTCACTGCCCTCTATTTTTTTTGTTCATTTCAAGATCTAAGTTCTGTTAACACCACTTAAAAAGAAGTACAAATATTAACCTGTCAGTCAACAATTACTTTATACATATCAGTCAACAAAAAGTAACTTTACATACACCAAGTTCCACATAACATGAACTTATCTATTACCTTCCCAGTTTTACCTGAGACTTTTTTTAAGTGATTCATTGCATTTTCACTTAACTGTTCACAGCCTTTCTTTCTTTGAAAAAAAAACAACAAAAAAAAACGTGGGGGGTTGCGGGTTTATTGCCCTTGCCATCTTCTGCTTTGTGCAGGTGCAGTCATTTGACACAGGACAAGGCACTCTGACCCAGAATTCTGACATGTGATTGGGTAATCCAAAGACAATCTTGAAACTCTGGAAAGTAGGTCCGTAAAATGATTTTTAGATTGTGGTTAAAAGGAAACTGGGACAGAAGTATATAAAGATTTAATGGCATTGTAAGAGCGTAATGAAAGTCTAGTATGACTGGAAAGTGGGTGGAATTGTATTGGATGGCCCACTTAACGTCTTATATTTCTGTTTCAGCTGCTCAACTTTGTATTGTATATGTAAGGGAGAAAGTACATTCAGCCTGTACATTTCCCTTCAGGGCCCTGATCGACCTGTGCGGGGTTGCTTTGGTATTATGATAGACAGACTGACATTATTCTCATTTTTATTGAACTACTATCCAAATAAATAAATGGACACTAAATTCCTGTTGAAATTATTTTATTATGTGTTCACTGCTAAGTGACATAAAAGACGTGAATCTACACAGTAAAAATGCTACAGTAAGAAACCTTTAATTGGTAACGGTAAGTTCTCTTACTATACAGGGGAAAAGTGCAATAGCTTTAACCTTACATTTAATGTAATTTTACAGCAAAATACTGATGAATGTACAATTTTTGGAAGAAAAAAGAAAATAAGTAAAGTCATCTTATAATTTACAGTGAAAACCTGCTAAATGACATTCCCAGAATTCTCTGGGTGACACCACATTTGACGGTATTTTGTTTAAATTATTGTGTTTTGTGATCAGTTATGTATATTAGGATTATATGTTACAACTCATGTTGTGTAGTGAATGTTTATTGCATTATTTTTGTGCAATATGTTACCATGATGGTGTTTTGTGTTTGTGTGTACACACCACAGCCTATATATTATTATTTACCTCAGCTTAAAGGTTATTTGCAATGAACTTTGCTTCTTCCTGTTGCTTTTTCTTTACCAACTGTGTTATTGTAGTGGTTGTCAGTATATGTTAAAGGTACAAACCAGATATTAGTAGCAGCTTGGCCTTGTCCTTTCAGCAGAAAAGGCTGTAGGATTTACCAGATTAAAATGTTTTTGTTGTTTTGTAAACAGCAATATTTACAGGTTGTTCTGTAAATATGTTCACATTTTTACTGTATTATTATATAACTATTCTGGCAAACATAGGTGCATTTTTTTCTCTTAACTGATTACCAGATTACTGATTATATACAAAAATATTTGAGCACTGAATGTCATTACTGATCAGAATCAAGTATACAGACAGGCTTTTAGCTATGTATGTTACTTTAAAAGCCAAACTTAATATATACACATCATTTATACAGTGTTGTGGAAAAGATCTTTAACATTGTTTGTGTTCAGATTTTATTATGGGAATAGATGACAGAGTCTGTTAAAATGGACACAAGGTTTGGTGTGTATTGCATTTGTTTGGTGTTCAAGGTTTCAGTTATTCTCCAGGGTCAAAACACAAAAATACATTAAATTGTGGATAGTAAAAAAAAGAAAAAGAAGACCATAAATACTGCTACCAAGTTATTCATCGACCTTTACATCTGATCACATTACTGGATAGCCTCCAGATATACAGTAATGGCCAAACGTTTTGGCAGTGACATAAATTTTATGTTTTGCATTTTGCTGCTTAAGCTGTTGTGGTGTTCATTCACATTGTTTCTAGATTATTGTGTAGAGTGATCAGATGCATTTTAAATCATTGCTAAAAAAATGAACTTTTCACAAATTTCACTGTTTTTTGATCCTAACACAAAATTACCAGCTAACATTCATTGACTGATCATATCAGCAGCACATGTGAAAGTGTGAATGAGTACCAGTCAGGTGAAATCACTATGTTGCTGTTCAACCAAGGGAGTGGGCTCTCTCATAATTCTGCCCAAAAACACTGCCATGAATAAAGAAAGGTATCAAAACGTCCTGCAAGAGCGACTTCCAACAATCCATGAGCAACTTAGTGATAAGTTGCATTTTCGTGCATTTTTCCAGCATGATGGAGCACCATGTCACAAAGCAAGAGTGATAAAGAAGTGGCTCGAAGAGGATTACATTGAAATTTTGGATCCGTGGCCAGGCAACTCCCCCGGATCTCAATCCCATAGAGAACCTGTGGTCAGTCCTCAAAAGGTGAGTGGACGAGCAGAAGCCCACAAATTGTGATAAACTCCAAGAACTAATAAGGCAAGAATGGATCGCCATCAGTCAGGATATAGGTTAAGAAGAACAAGGATCAACACTGTAAATATTGACTCATTATATATATATATTTTTTTGCCAATAAAAGCCTTTAAAACTTATGCTTATCAGTGTTTTTCAGTATACTATAGAAACATGTGGGAAAAATACCCTACAAATACTGAAGCAGCAAACTTTGCAAAACACAATTTATGTCACTGCCAAAACTTTTGGCCATGACTGTACAGTAGATGAACTCTACACTTATGTACAAATATTCAAATGCAAAACCACAAAATTTCCACCTCAACTGCTTACATCAACCATATCTATTGTGTGATTTGGAAGAGCTGACCCACATCCTGACTGCGATAACAACATTGTCCAACTTGTCTGAGAGTCCTGCTTCCCTCATCATTGATTTAACAAATTAAGCTTTTTGTTTTTTGGCAGAGGATGGCGTGTTGGTCTGCCATCAAATTCTTGCATTAGCACATAGACGTTTGGCCAGTCATGATGAGTCATATTACACTACATCACTGCACCACCATGATCAGCTTAATGGAAAAGAAAAAAAACAACGCCCCGCCTATTATAAACGGATGAAGTCAAAATGTGGAAAGTCTTGTAGAAAGCCCCTCCACTATAATCATAATGTCATTAATATTCATGAGTGAATTGTCACCATTTAGTGACATCACAGCCAGCATGTTGATGAAAACCCTTTCATCATGAGACAAATACTCTCATCAACAGGCAGATAGTTATGTCTCTGGGAACAGTAGGTCATGAGGTCTGAGTTACGGTTGGCAGACCTTAAGTTTAGAGGCCAATTGACAGGGAAATACTGTATAATCAGAATGGAGAAGTAACCAGTTCCTCTTCTCATCGACAGAAAAATATGAATCAGTGGATAATGTAAATAAAGAAGACACTGGGGAAAAAAAACATCAATCAGTGTGCTTTTGGCAAAAAGGAAGTCAATGCAGTAGATGTGTCTGTTCATCCCATTAATTGATCTCAAGCTGTGAGAGAATCTGATAAATATTATAAAGCCTCCCCCAAAGCCACTGGTAAAGAGCTATTGCTTCTTTTTAGCTGCAAGTGTGTCTTAATATGATGTCTGATATTTAGCATTTCTCACAGCAAGCAATCAATAAGCACTGCTACCCTCTGGTGGAAAAAGAACATATTCAAACCATTAATAACTGATATGTCTCATCATCTCTTATCAAAAACAGGTTAAAAAAATACATAAAAAGCCACAAAATGGGAAAGCAGGGCATATTTATTTTCATTATTGCAAGCTTTCATAAAAATTATGATAGTCCATATGAAAAAAAAACTTTTCATCTATACAATCATTTATAAAAAATTGTCTTCTCTGAGACATGATTGTAATAATGCTTTTACAAAACAATCTCCATAATCAGTAAAGTTACATCAAACCAAACTTTACACATATTTTGGTCCAATTTAAATGTAGGAAGTCTTACACTGTTAGTAACAATATCAAGAGAAAACATTTAGTCAAGTAAAAAAAATACATTTGAATAAGGAATGCTGATTTATATTTAATAGTGAAAGGATGTGAAGGCTAACTATGAAACTAAATTAACTCAAACTTAAATGGGTGGCATTTTTCACAATAGAATCTAGAATTCTTCAGAAAAGGATGAGTTCAGGAAAAACATGCAGTTCACTTGAGGGAAAGAGTTTCTTGCTTACACATATGGAAGCACCATCTTATTCATGGCTGTGTAACCTTTACCATAAAAAACTCTGGATTCCACAAACTACTAATAGTAACTGAAAATTGAGACTTGTGCGATTCACCCACACACCAAAGGGGACATAAGAGTCAGTCTACAATTTAAAACAAAAATAACCAGATTCAATACAAAAAGTGCTGTTTTTGACTCTGGCAAAGGGCAATTTTAAAGTATTTGATCGTAAATTAATGTCAGCATTTCCTTGGTACATTTTTATCTAGTAATCTGTGACACTGGGTTGTGTCTTCGGATGAATCTCGATTCTCGACTGAACAGAAAAATGTTATAAAGAAAAATATCTGAAGTATTTCATGTCACGTAACACTTTATACTGCTCTGTTTATCGTCACACATCAATTTACGTAATAGTTCATGATTAGTTTGCATCAGCTTTCCAGTGTGACAGCAAAAAGAAGATAAATCACATTTAAAGGTACGAAATTGCAGTCATAATCAAAACAGAAAATCGCTGAAATTATGCACTTTCTTCTTCTGTTACTGTGGTGATTTATATCAGTCTGCATAATCCTAGCTAAAACATCTCATCTTGCAAAACTTGGAATACTTAAAAAAGAAAAGATAAAGGATGCGAACACACACATTGTGTTATTGATAATTCAAATAAATGGGAGAGCTTTTGGGTGATGTCATGTTCACTGCCCTCAGTTTGGTGGCAAGATACTGGCAGTAAAAGGGGGCATGAGAGAAAAAAACAACGAGATAGAGTGTAAACATGGTAGAGACATTGCTGGTAGTGGCTCTTTTTCACGTTTTGGAGAGGTTACTGAACCACATTTAAGACTTTTGAAGTAGGTGCATTCAGGTTCCCCTCTAATGGGTTGGTAACAATGCACGGACCTCAAGATGATCCAGTGACCGAGTTCATCGTGTGGGTCAGTTGCTATTGAGGATCTCAATGCTGCCCTGCAGAAGGGACACGCTGTTCTGTAGTGAGTGTACAGAAGAGAGAGCACAACAGAGAGAAGAGAGAGAGAACAGATGGAAGAAAGTTAACGTGTTGGGCCAAAACTCACTAAAAAAAAAATCAAGGTTTTCCCACCTATTAACCAACAAATCTCCATGACTTTCCAAGTCTACCATGTTTACTTTAAGGGTGCTTAAGGTTTGTACATTTTTTTTTTTTAAACCACTGCACTCAAAAAGAGCAATATCTAGCTGCTGAATTTTATAGCTGAGCATATCTAGAAAAATGTACACTACTGTTCAAAAGTTTTGGGTCAGCAAAAAAAAAAAAGTACATTTGTTTTTATTTGTGTTATGTTTACCAAGGCTGCATTTATTTGATTTACAAATACATTTTACTTGGCCTTCATTTATACAGTCTAGTGAAATATTAATAGAATATTAATTTTTTATATATTTTAAAAGCAGTTTATTTATTCCTGTGATGGCATGGCAAAGCTGAATTTTCAGCAGCCATTAGTCCAGCCTTCAATGTCACATGATCCTGTGATATTTTTTCAGGATTCTTAGATAAATAGAAAGTAACAAAAAAAAAAAAAAAAACGCATTTTTTTGAGGAACTGT